GATTCGTAAGACCAGCGGTTCTTCACCAATTTTCACGGTGAACAAAAGTATACATCATGACAAAAATATTGAAAAACAAACGCTAAGCAGCCCAAAGTTGGAATGCCCTCATCAAAGCCCAAACATTAGGGTGAAGTTGCGAGGAGTAATCTTCAAGAATCTTAATACCTCTCATTCATATATGGTCAAAGGCACCCCCAAATTTATCCTAATAAACAGAAAACATCAAAAAGGGACAAAACATTCCCTGAAGTTACTACAAATTATTTTGCCTGACTCCACGGGAAAAACTAACTAATCACAACAACAAACTATTTCTATGTTAGCCTCCCTGACGACTGCAAGAATATCTAAAGTGAAGAGGGTGCCCAATATTTCAGAGCCCACCTAGTTATACTTGCTTGCATTAGTCGGCTTCATAAGACTGATAATTCTTTAAGGTATATCTTAATCTCGGAAGATATTTAAAGGTCTGACCTAATCAATACCAGTAGGCTGAGTTCCAAGCGCAAGATGATCCCTAATCTCGGAATCACCTGTATCTGGACCAAAGGTGGACCGGTAAGTTATGATGAAAGTGCGAGCCTCTTCCCTATTCAAGCTAGTAAATTCCACCTCTAGTGAAGTCAAATTAGGAAAAGCTACATCCCCCACATATGCGAAGGGAGAAGGAGAAAAACTGGTTGTGCAATCATTTCTAGCACCATCATCTGAAATGAGGGCGTCAAAGGAAGATTCATCAAAGGATATTTATATGTTAAGACAACTGAAACATCTCTGATTCAGAACTATTAGACATATTTATGACAACTAGAGCTAAATGATTAATAACATAAAGGTTAGAATCTAAACTAGTAGAGGTTTTTGTTCTAGCGGAGGAAGATGAACCACTACTCCCTAAATCACTAGAAAGGTTCACGGGGTGATCATTCATCTGGGCCATAGTTAAATTAAAGACTTGAAATGAAAAGATAAGCTCGAGGGAAAATGGAACTTGTACAAACTATGGGTAGACAAAGAGAGTAGACGTTAAGTGAAAGGTGGAAAGCTTTGTTCCAAAAGAAATCAAGTGCTTAAGCAAAGGATTTTGAAAAGAAAGGAAATCACTCTCACAAATTGAAAGGTGACTTTCAAGAATGGAAAAAAATTCAAACAAAAGACCAGGAAACTCTTATATAGAAGGAGCAAGCAACGATTCAGATCAAAAGAAGGTGTAAAGTTAAAATCAATGACCATACTTCACCTTAGGAATACAAGCGAACTTAAGTGCACTTGAATTCCCTAGAGATGAGCTCCACACCCTAACTTTCGATCCTAAAGCCACATGCCTTAAAAATTGGCAAAACGTTGCAACGATGGGAAATACATTTAATGCGCTTATTCCCCACTACCTCTGCACTGCCTCATGTCCTTCTCACTTCCCTTTTTTGGGTTGTCTTTGGTAACAAGATGTTGATCGCGACTTCTAAAGACTTCCTAGATGATAAAGCATCCGAAAATCCTTGGGGTAACTAATATGCACCAGCTAAAGGCCCAATACGGGTCAAGTCCAATCATCTAGCCTAATAATGCAAAGCCCAAATAAAATTGACCATCATATATAAGTGGCACGTGTGAGACTTAAGGTACACTTTTCCAATCTCACAATTTCAGTTAACTTATCTTGGACTATTTAACTAACTTGGGAATTGGAGTGCTAACCTTGCAGGTCCACCCCGAGCTCCTGTATCGGAGATCAGTATCATAGCATCTAGAGTCCATAATCACCAATTAATCACAGTTCTAGTTCTAGTACGGAAGAAATTCTGAACAGAGATCATCCTCTCATATCTTAGCATCTCGTTATGGTGAACTGAGTTTTGCATTAAACAAGATTTGATTGTGAAAATTCAATCTGCCTCAATTTGGTGAACTCTTTCATCCTTTCTAGAAAGTGATCCGACCAAGTTTCAATATCTTTTGTGAAATATGTCATCCACTTCGGTGATTATTTGGTATAGGACACCCTAGTTTCAAGTAAACTTAAACAAAATGTTGTGTTTTTAAAAGTCACCCAATACATGTGATGCATCCATATGGATTTTGAGGTGGCCTACTCCAAAGTGGAAAAATTGTTTCCAAGAAACTATATCTTGTCAGATCAATTATAAGCATGGTGGGAAGTATATATTTGTTTTTTTTGTAAGCACAGTGAGAAATATGTTGAACAACTTGATAGAATCAGAATGAGTCCAAATATATCTTGAACAGTAACTCCATCCTCAGACACATTATACCTAGAAACATAATGATTATCATCCAAAAGCTTCAACAGTTGTTGCATTTTAATTCTTGGTCATGTTATCGCGTTGTTTACGACACGAATATTGTATATTTATTTTATATTTGAGACATTTTCAAGTCTTTTCCATTTCAACGTCTCAAGTATATTTTTGGATGGAACCATATTCGATGTCATGTTAAAAACAAATTCCTTCTCCTGAAGATTTAGACAACATACAATGGGATGATCGACTAACTTAGGACACAAGTAATAATTATGTATACCAAAAACGACATAAATATCCATGTATTATTCGCCTGACGATATCCACAAATCTTAAAAGGACAATCACACTTTCTCGATTCGGTGTCACCTTATTTCAACTTCTAAATAAGTTGTTGGTACGTGTCACTTTATTCGCATCTCATTGTTACAAATGCATGTCTTCTATCATAACCATTATCATACCTCTCAATTACAACATTGAACCTAAGATTGGTGGTCTCCGTGTGAATCCATTGGAGCATATGTTCACACTTAACAAACTCCTAATTAGTTTTAAATTCTTCACGAACATCTACCTTAACAACAATCGGTTTAACATCTACCTCGACATCAACATGTTTGACATCTACCTCGACATCAACCGATTTAACATCATCTTCAACATCATCCAGTTTAACATTTTCCTCCATTTCATTCGCTTTATCTACATACACAAGAACTTTAAGAAAAGTATCATGGTGCACCATATCTATAACTAATCATAATAGAATAATAGATTAAAAATTCATTCTCAACCTTGAACAAATTTCATAAATGCATATCTAAAACATATGCAACCTTATTTGAAGATAAATCTTCGGACTCAACGTCCATTTTACACAACAAAAACCAACTTAATGCAACCAATGTGAAAGGAAAAACATGTTCTTTACCTTAAATTGCATCTTCTTTTGCTACTTTTGACGTGATAATGCACAAAAAATGTTATTTTGGAGTGCAAAAGCTGATTGAGAATGAAATGAGATTTGTAAGAATTTTAATAGAATAGTTGTGTTTGATCATGAAGAAGAAGAATATCAAAAGATGATGTTTATTTATATTTCCGTATGATATTTTCGATGATGGATTTTCAAAACTGGCACTGATTATATTAAGGGAATCTCAATCAACTTAAACAAGGGTGACTCAATCAACTTAAAACACAATACAATAGTGATTTCGGAGTTGAATTTTCAAATTAATTTTTACACAATACAATAGTGATTTCGGAGTTGAATTTTCAAATTAATTTTTGACACAAACTGGAATGTAACTCACTTGTCACACCCTTTAAAACGCCATTATTAGTAATTCCTTTAAAACACCATTATTAGTAATTCCATTGATTCATCTCCGAATTAATTTTAATATAAACAAGAGTGTATTATGCATTTTCAGTATATGTAAGAGCAAAATCAATATGTTGATCCTATTAATGCAAAATACTTTTTCAAATTTCTAGTGAATATAACATGGACACAGTTTAAATATATAGAATCTCCATTTTGCTCTTGTTAGCCCATCTGTCTTTTATTTTTATAATCTTTTTAAAAATAAAATCTTAGATCATAATCTTCAACTAATATTTACCATACATGCTTACTACCCGTAGCTCTTGTTTTTTTTCCCTTCTTCTTGTCATCATTAGATATGACCTACGTACTTTCTACTATCTTCAATCTTCATAATGAAAATTGAAATAAATGTCACTTGGCTTTACCATATTTACGCTCCTTTTACTCTATGAAAATGACAGTCATACTTTAGTTTAAGATAAAGGAAAAGCTCTAATTATTGAATAAAGTGAATATGGTCTATACAACTTTGTTCAATTGCGATCCACTGACTAGGAGGATAAGCTCTTTAAGTGACAACGAGGACGATTGAGAGTAGAGAGATTGCATTATTATCATAAATAATCAATAATAATAATAATAATAGGACTAAAACGATATTCACAAACACACAATCAATGGAACCGTTCGAGCAACTAGGACAAAAAAATTGGTATCATATCTCAAACATCAGGTCAAAGATATTCGAAAAACAGACACATCAGCAGAGGACAGATCCATTCCAGTTTCAGAAAAATGATCAGTGAGAAGATAGCAAGTACTGCAGCAGTGGTCCTGGTCGACCAGCAATCATTAAAAACTAGAAACAACTTTAATTCTTTTTATTTCAGAAATCTCAGCAAAATGGTAAATTTTGTTGTGACCCATATCAAGTGAAATTAAATCAGAAAACAAGTGATAAAAAGTTATTAAAGCAATGTGGTAGGTTCAAAATTCAATCCAAATTTGCATTAAACTTCCTTGGTCAAGCAGTTAAAATTGAATCTTTGCCTAATCTTTTTTCAATGTAAAAACCAACCCAATCCATACAGGTATATTGATCTTTCCAATAGTATTTAATTTAAAGGTTTAACAAGACTGATCTGATCAAATGAAAGGGTTGAAATAACACCCCACACCTAACTAAAGTTGTATATATAACTTAGGAACAAATAAGATCTTAGGAAAATAAATGAATAAAATAAAATGGAAGAGCAAATGCTCACTTTCATCACCTTAATTCCCTCTTCTAACCTTTCTACAGAATAGAACAAACAGAGTCAAATTTCATACGAGGGGACCACTGACTATTCATTGATGCAGCACTTTCTTTTTGGACAGCTCATTTATGCAGCACTTTACCTGTAATTAAACAAACTCAGGTTACATTTTTATTCTGAAAGAATAAAAATATAATAATCCGAAATTCCAATGTATACAAAATTCTTTTATTTCCAAATGTTTTTGCTACCTACCTGGTCTTTGAGCTACCAAGAGTGAGCTCTAAATCATCTGATCCCGAATCTTCATGGATCCTCTCTCCTTCCCAAGGCTTCACCAAACCCGCTGCACTGCTTCCGAAGGCAAATTCGTCTGAAACAGCTTCAGTCATTGGTATGTCAGCAGTATGATCAGAGCCTGCAGCTATAGCTGGAGAACATGTCCCACTTTGTCCAGGTGTCCACATACGGGAATCACTGCCACAGAAAACTTCTTCCCTAAAGCCAAATGGGTTAGAAGCCACTAGGCTAAATGTAGGAGAAGTTGGCCCACCCTGGGGCATCCTAATCCCAGCAAACCAATCTGGGTCGAGAACTTGGCGACCTGGGCTTGGAGGAGTGGAGGAAGGCAGGAAGGAGTACTGCTGCCCGCTCCAACCAGGACGAGTGGACTGATCCTCCCAGATGTCAGCTTTCGTCTGAGATGATCGGGCAGTTGGAGAGCTAAGTGGAGGAGTGACAGGAGCACTGATGGAACCGGTATGAACATATAGCTGCGGAAGCTTGGAAGAGGATGCTGATGATGATCCAGATGAGAGGTTTTTGAGCCATGGAATTAGGGAATTGGCGTCCCCATTAGGATTTACAGCATGGGAGGATGAGCGCGGACTAGGGAAGGAAGAAGAACCAGGGCTTGGGTTGTAAGAGGCACAGGGACTTGGATGATAAGATGAACACGGACTTCCCATTGCAGAACCACCTACCACATCCATGCGCTCCATAGGCTTGCATCCCTTTAAATTAATATTTTTATTAATAAGAGATAGAATACACAGAATTTTGACATTCAAATGACTTGCATTTGTAAATAAAGATGCATCCTTTTAGCAATTAGATGGATCCATATGCAACAAACAGTATGACAGTTTTCCGTTCAACAAGGAATCTAATATGCTCAAGAAGTCTAACTTTCATTCAATTAACATATCATATCACCCTACTAATTTGAAAAGGAGATTGCTATTATTGAATATTGTAGCAAAATTTATTTCCCTTTTACCATAGGCAAGAATATAAGTAGATTTTTATATGAAAGTCAGGCTAACAATGAATCTTCAATCTTCTTTTAAAAAAAAGAACAATGAATTCAACCTAATGCTTTAAGGCTTGTTAGTGACCATCATCTTTTTCTCAATGGTTAACTACATACAAAGAAGGAATTTTACATACAAAGAAGGAATTTTATGGAGTAAACAAGTATTGACAAATATAACAGTAACTAGGGAATCAGTTCCAAGAAACAGTTATATCCGTCAAACTGTATAAATACTCCTACAGTTCTACCCCAACAGGTGTCAGAGTGAGGAAAATTTTACTCTTAACAGTTTATTATGACTCTGTCTGGTTCAATAAATACATCAAGTTTTTGTCATTTTTACTTCATTCATTTAATTACAACCATTTGACTATTGAAGAACACTATAGCAACCTAAAGTTTAAACATTGTAGAGATATGTTCTAAGAATTTTGGATATTAATTTGGTTATATAATATTAGCTTGTCTAAAAACATATATGAACTAGATGTCAATTCTGTTTGCAGCATCATTACATCAACAAAAACAGTATATAAAACTTCTGGCCTAATAAGTTAGCTGTTTGCTTGTATTACATGTAACTGGATTGATTCGCATATTGGTTATTTTTTGTTCACTTGGCTAAAACATGTCATTTTTAGCAAAGATAGAAAAATGTACCCCTTTTAAAGTTTAAACACACGCACTCAACCTCATTTTTTAATTCATTTTTTTTCCAAAAACAATAAAAGGAAAAACGAAAAAGGAAAAAGTAAAAGAAAACAAGTCCAACCAAGGAAAATCCTATTGAGGACAAACAAAACTGGTGAGTGAATACCGAATAGTGAATACAGCCACTCTTTCCAGTTGAGAGCGTCATCAATAATAAAGGTGAAACTGCATATAAAATAAAGAAAAAGATCTAAATCTAAATAAATACAACCGCAACCCCCTAAAAATAGAAGAAATGTCACGGGAACTAAGGAAAAAAGTAGCTCTCCAAATCAGAGTACCATGCAATTTCTGCAAAAGCTTCTGCCAAATTGCAACAAGCACAGCAACCAACTAAATATACCAATCACACACCTAAGCTGACAAAACTACCCTCAACAATTTCTCAATTTCAAAGACCCCATGTTAAAAAATGGTTTGCTTTCCATAAACCATTGCCCCCAAAAGTCCAAAACCAAATAAAATAAAATAAGTGAAAACCAAAATGGCCATTTTCTTCCTCCCCTCGAGATCTATGCCACTACCCCTAAGTACTTCTCACGGATCATCAAAACACACTATAGGGAGAATCTTTAGTGCTTCACGCTTTAAAGCGAAAGGCACAGAGCCACATACACAGTCCCGACCAGATCTAACGGTCACCGGCGAGTCCAAAAAAGAAAGAATCTAACCCAATTCTCGCAAACACATTACCATACACCATAAATAACAAATTAACAAAATCACACATTATTAAAAAGTAATACTACTACTACTGCAGACACCCAAATACGACCTCGACACAGTGACACTAATAATTTAAAAAATAAATAAATTAACATTAATCACAAGAGTGGCACCAACATGAACACGCTTTTTTCCGAGGTTTCGTGTTGCAGTAACGTGCCATGTGCAATTTTCAGAAACCAAAACCACATACACAACAAACTGTGAATTGCCAATCCTCAATCATCAATGAAGTAATAAACTACTATAATTGAAGGTACTCAATGCTAAAATTAGAAGGAAAAAACTCAAAATTATATCTAATAATTAAAAATTAAAAATACTAACTAGAATTATAATCAAATTGCTAGTTTTCAAATGTGTGTTGGTTCTTGTTACCTTACGATACGTTGTGCCATCCGGTTCAACGATCCAACCGGCTTCATTGCAGAGAGCTTTGAGAACTTCATTGTTGTCGCAGTGTTTGGGAAGCTTGTAGTTACCATACATTCTCAAACCGGAGAAGATCTTCGCAGCTATGGCTCTTCTTCTTCTCTCTCTCCTCTTGTTATTCTCTCTCTCCTTCCACGTTGGTTGTCTCGTCCCCGACGTCATTTCCTTCGTCGGAAAAAAACTCGCCGCCGATTAAGAAAAAAAGAAACTCCGGTAACAGAAATAACAATCAGAAGTTCGAATTACACAACCACACAACGGTCAAGAAGTTCCTAGATCGAATTATCAAGAAGCAATGAAGATTGACTAAAAACGACAGCGTTTGAAGGAGTTGAATTGAATTTATCAAAAATTCAGCAAAGAAGAATTTCGGTTTGATCGATTTTGGTTATGATCTAATCTAATCTAATCAGATCTAAAGAGCTAGTGAAGCGGTTACTTCGCCGGAGTGAAGTTAACGGTGAATGTTGACCGGAAAACTCGTCGGAAAACTGCGTGTGGTTAATTTGAAGAGAAAACATGAATGAGGTGAAGAAAGAAAGAGAAAGTGTGAAAGAAAAAGTGGACTAAATACATTGAGGTAACAAAAAGAGACATGGTTTATTGGAATATTTACGGTGATGCCATTGGAAATAAAGAGAGAGAAAACGGAAAAATGAATGTGGAGTGGGATTTGTACGTGCATGACTGGACTACGTGTTAAGGTTGACTGAGGTGAAGACTGGCCCAAATATGGCAGTGAGTATTACGGATAAATAAATAAACAAGGAAATGTCCTAAATATCAGGGGGTTAATTAAAGCATAATATTGCTTAGATTTGGAAAAGAAAGAAAAACACAAGTGGTAGGTTTATGATTAGTGTAGAATTTATTATTCAATGAGTTAAATTAAATTTAAACTTGACTTGATTAAAAAAAGAAAAAACTTGACTTACTTACCATTAAAGTTTGTATTTTTAACTATTTTAGAAACATTTTTATTCTATTGATATACTCCATCCAGAATGATTTTTAAACTAAATTAGTTTATTTATTTTAAAATAAATAATATGGAAATTTTTTAGCCTAATTGATAGTATTCTCATCAAAATATAATTTTGTTTTAAATTAACAATTGCTGATTTTTTAATAAAGATAACTATTAAATAAAAATTTAAAATTTATTTCTAATTTGAAGAATGATTTAGATAAAATTAATATTTTTAAATAATAATAATAATTTGAAGAATAATTTAAATGATAATAATAATAATAATAATAATAATAATAATAATAATAATAATAATAATAATAATAATAATAATTTATTTTTTGAAAATTTGGTATTCAGTCTTATAATCGAGTAATTTTACGACCATCTATTGATAAGATGCATTTAAAGGCAAAATATGAATGATTTGAAGATCAAAATAAGTATAATGTGTTTTACTACAATTAAAAACTAAGATTTCAAAATCTCTGATTAGGTTATACAAGGAGCATCGCCTGAGTAGGTGATGTATCATTCACGCCATTGATTGTGGTTTGTGGATGTGACATTTTAATCTCATTCTTTTATTCTTGTATGTTTCTTATCCAAGTGAGGAGGGCAGACCTATTGTCAAAGTGAAGTAAAGTGTATGTAGATAATAAATGAGATAATTGATTAAAGCGTCGTACTTGAGAGTACCTTTTATTAATAAATATATGTAGATATTTGGTTTGATCACATTCCTTTATTATCGTATGCTTCTTATTCAAGTAAGGAGGAGAAACCTATAAATATTTATTTGTCGTCAAAGTAGGGCAAAGTGTATGTAAATAACAAATAAGATAATCGATTGAGGCATTGTATTTGGGAGTGCCCTCTATTTATAAAGTAGATGGGTTCTGTTGCAGTGAGAATCGTGATACCAAGCTATTGATTAACTTGAATCTTTAATTCTTAGATTACAGCCGGACTTTAATTTATCCAAAGGAAAGGTCTAAAGAAAGAAAGAACCTTTTGCGCGATGTTACAACAACGCTAAGAGATTCGGGGATCGGGGGTTGGTTATGCCTAGGGTAGGTATTTCACATCCTAGACATCTGTAGTACTCTACAGGAACCTTTTTTTTGTTTGCATGCTAAGTTTGGTAAATATTTGCTAAGGATTGGGATTGGGTAAAGGTATAGGTTAAAACCTAATGATAGTTTCTAAGTTTGCTCGCAAAGACATCGCGTCCTCTGCCTACGTATCCTAACTAGGATAGAATCAGAGCAATCGTAGTTCACCTCACTGGGGTTGAAGAACACTTGATTATGATCAAGGTTCAAAGGGGAACAAACATAACAATGCTTGTATAGAGTTTAACAAAACTCTCTAGATCTATGTTATAACACTCAAGAAAGGGAAGTAAGTAATCATATCCATGATTCTTACATAGAGTTAACCAACTCTATCCTAGGGTTCTACATTGAAGAACACTCCTAGTGAAGGTAGCTTTTCTAGACTTAAGGCAAAGTCTAAGGCTTATACTAATGTTCAAGATGACTTCACAAAGTCAAGGAAGGGTAATGAGCTATCCAATGACACAAGGGTCAAGGGAGAGACTTTTCCTTTGGAAGGAGAGAGAGAGAGAGAGAGAGAGAGAGAGAGAGAGAGAGAGAGAGAGAGACAACTTGGATAAGAACTAAAAAGTTCCATCACTTGGGGAAGCAATACTTAACAAAGCAAGATTACAATCAGGGGAACATGCATATTACAGTAAGTAGATACTTCAAATAATACCAATGGTTACAACCAATAAATCATCTTAACAAAGATTGAGGACCTATCTTGACAAAGATTGGAACATGGTGAAGGTAATTACCACATAAACAAATCACAATTTGAAGATAGGCAAGTCACAGGTTCAAAACATAGCAAATGTAACAACAATACGCATAGATGATAATCAAACACAGTTAAATTAGTTTAAACCTCATAACTTAGGAGGGATAAATGAGACAAGATTATGGTGACAACCAAAGGGGGTACCCTAGCATGTTAACTAACAAAGGGAATAAAGATCTCACAAGAAATTCAATCATGCTCAGAGGAATTCAACTGTAAGTCGGATCACTAATCACAATAAATGAACAAATTTCCATATGGGTAAAGTATATCACAATTTATGACAAAAAGTAATATTTTTAAATCATATAAAAATAGACATTATAACAAACAGAATGCAAAAAGAATGAGCAAAAAAGGATGAAAAATGATAGAGTTGTGATTTTTTGAAGTTTCATGATTTTAAATGCACAAAACAATAATCAATGAGTGAAAATTAGAAGAAAATGCAAGGGGTGGGAGTTGAACCCACGCCCTCCAGCTTGCACATGCACGTGCAGAAAAAAGAAAAAGAATAAAAGGGTTGATCCTCCTCAGGGATCGAACCCAGGTTCAGGCAATGATAAGCGTGTTTATGGGCAAGGCTTCTACCACTGGGGTGGATATACATCCGTTGATATAGCCACCCCTAAAAACATATATGGCATGCTTTCAAGGATTTCTGGGCAAGGAAAAAAAACCAAGAACAAGGCAACAAAGCTGATTTGCATTTTAATTCACAACTATATCAATACTTCATGGAATCAGATGAAATTTTAGTCAAACTTGAGTGTTTTTTCACAAGGAATAAGATGGTGCAGTTGGTTTTTAAAGATAACATCTTGAAAAGAAAACACGATAGAACTTGCAATTTTGTCAATTGAGATGCAACTTGATAACCACACAACAAATCTGAGTTGAAATCCATAAAAGGGCATTGTACACAAGCTTCAAATGTCATAACAAAGGTGTGGAATACTAAAGGCTCAATCAAAGATCATCAAACATGGATTTGGCTCATGAATTGCAAGTGAAACATGAAAATGCAGCAAAACTGTCCAATTAGGGATGTGTACAACAGTTGATTAAATAGAAAAAAGAAATCATGAGACATTCACCAACACATTGAAAATGCAATGAGGAGCAGGTATACTCAAATATCAAACCAAACTCAAGCACAAAACAAAACTGCTATGCCCTAACAAACTAAAATTGAAGAAAACTTGCAATATTGAAACCAACATCAAGTAGCAGCCAGAATTGGAATAAATAGACACATCAAACATCTTCAAAACATCATATGAAAAGTTTTTATACCTAAAAAATGTTCACAAACATTGTGGAAATGAAAATCAACAGCCAGCTGCTCAAACACTCAAAAAAATGCAACATGAGGATCAAAAATGATTTGGAACAGATTGAGATGCAAAGGCTGCCATACACAAGTTTCAAATAAGATAACAAATGAGTCTAACACTTAAAGTATTCATGGACTGCACACAACAAGGATATGACCATCAAATTGCATTTGTGCCAAACATGTGAGGTAGGATTGTCATGACAGCAAAATAAGACATATCAAGTTGATTGATTCATGCACATACAAGTTTCAAAACACTACCAAAGATACAATGCTAGATGAACTGACTTAGAACAAAACAAGTATGAAAAAGTGAAGTGTGTGCAATTGATTTCAAGACAGTTGCAGCAGCAGGGCACAAAAATAGTTCATCTATGCATCAAAGGTCTCATGTTGACAAACATTGCACACACACATCCTAAATGTAGCAAAGAATGAGTCATAACTAAAAAAATAGACATATTGCAAGTAAGCAAGAATTTGGCATACTCATGGTAGGTTTTAGCTCAAAAATGCAGTTGGGAGGTGAAATGAGAAAACAGGTACGTATAGATCAAACCAAACATCTACACACATCAAAATCAAGCAAATAGACGAGTTTCAACTCATAAACTAGACATATGACAGTTGGAGCACAAAATTGGTATGTTGTGGTAGGAAGTATGAAAAACTGTCTTGGTAAAACTTAGCACATCAGGTTGTTTTGGCAAGCAAAGAGTTTTGTGTTGAAACAAGCAATATGCACATACCATGAACATGCTAACAGATGAGGATATGCCCTAGAAATAGATGAAAACCTTACCAAGCAGAAAATAGCATTTTGGAGCTTATGAATATGCACAAAACCAAATTCAAACATGCAGCAGGCAATTTCATAACTGTTGGGGAGATTTGATAGCATATACAAGTTTCAAATAAGTAAGGCAATGATTCTATGCACATAGATCATGTAGAATGCAGTTGAAACAG